GATCCATCTTGAAGTACAACATCGTGAGTGACAGGATTATATCCATACGCTTACAAGGAAGTCCAGTAAATACCACTATCATTCAGATATATGCACCAAGAACCAGAGCCAAAGAAGAAGAAATAGATGATTTCTACCAACTTTTACAGTCGGAGATAGATCAAACATGTAATCAAGATGCATTGATAATGGGTGACTGGAATGCATTTTAATAATATTGCTTGATAATTTCTGTATTCTGTTGTATCATCTTTCTCAAAGAGTGCACAATAATGGAGTCCTAATTTGTTGAGCAGACAGCTCTTTTGCAAATTTCTCACATAGAGAAATAAATGCTTCTAATGGTGCATCTATTTGTTGAAATATATCTCAATTGATATTTCCTAATTCTGGAAATGTGTGTGTGTATCTGTGTGTATATGTGTGTGTGTGTGTGTGTGTGTGTGAATGCCTTCAGTTCATCAGTTCAGTACAACTTGGACTTCTTCTTTTAATACCATCATTTCTTGATCATATATGCTGAAAGATTTGGATGTTAATGAATTTTTTTCTGGTACAGTGATTGTGGCCACAGTATTCCTTCCTATTTTTTAGGTATTTCAGGCATCATTTGATATTTTGCCTGTCCAATTCTTCAGTATTTTATCTCAAGACTTGAATTTGTTAGTTCTTTCAGTTTCAGAAATTCTGTGCCATTTTTCTCCTTTTCATTTTCTAAGTCTTTGTACATTTCATTATAATAGTTAAGTTTTTCTTAAGTTGTCTTTTCAAAAATAATTAATTTTTATTGTGATTTGAATGAAATTAAAAGAATTTGAGTTTTCATTCACTCCTTTATACACATTTCCCCCCATTAATTTAATTTAATATTTCTTTTTCTATACTGTTAATGATTATGAATTATAATATATATAATGTGTAATTATCTATTCATTTCAGGTTGACCTTCCCTTCCCCTATGTCAATCCAGTGTTCATAATCTAACTAATCTTTTTCTACTTTCTCCACTATCCTCCTCCTCCACAACTATCCTATGTTTCTAACAGTGAGTGGTCTTTTAGATTATTTGTCCTTTTATTGCTGAATTCTTTCACTTAGCATATTGCCCTCTGGATTTATCCATGCTGTTAGTGTTTCATTAGTTCTACATTTTTTTTCCATTGTGTGAATATACCATGGTCTCTTTATCCATTCATTTGTTGATGAGCATTGGGTTTGCTTCCTTCTTTTTACTATTGTGACTACTGCTGTAATAAACATGGGTAACATACATCTGTTTGTGTCACAGCTCTGATTTCTTTAGGGTATATTCCCTGAAGTAAAACAACAGGGTCAAATGGTGGGTGAAGAAAGCACCTTCCATGATGGTTGTACCATTTTGCACTCCTAACAGCAGTAATGAGAGTTCCAATCTTTCTACATCCTCACTAACATTT